GCTTTGATTGACAAGGTGCCAATCAAATTCATTAGTTTTGATAGTTGCTGTAAAATAATAACAGTTTGATTGGCAGATTATATAAACAAACGTCAATCATCGCGCACTGTGATTTTTCAAGCTGTGAAACAGTGAGTACGCCGAAAGAGAGCGCTAAAATCTGAAGTTAGGATAATTTATTTGCAAAATATTTCAAGAGAATATATACAACCTGTTTCCAATACTACTTATCTTTCTGAACCTTCAGCGTGTCTAATAAGACACTCTATATACGAACTATTTCGTAAAAAGAAAAGAATTTAGCAAAATAAACCAATTTCAAATAAAGAAATGTGACATTTGACGTTATTCTGGAGGTAGTGCATGGGCCATTTCAAAATTAATACAACTATGTCCCCCAGTATGTGCGAGGAAGAAGAAAGAAAAAATGTTTTTGAATTATGTATAGAATATTGACAGATTATTTTACTGTCAAAGTCTACTTTCTGCAAAATAAATAAATAAATAAATAAATAAAAACGATACTAATTCATCTCCATTAAAGGTGACATTCGTGTTGTGGTGGAGGTAAGTGGTTTAATTTTTGATGCGGGGCTAAATGTTAGCAAGGACCTGTGATAATAAGTGGATGGGAAACAAAAATATAACTGTAAACAAAAATATTACTGTCAACAACTCTCTAGACATTTACTTTTTGTGCGTCGTCCGTTCCTATTTAACAAACAAACCTTGCTCCTGTAACTATTTTGTTAGTTTATTTTACTGCAGTAAAGCGTGGATGAAATAGTTCAGAACGCCCCCGGGATTAGGCCTACTTGAAGAGGATTCGGAGCGACAGGCCTCGGATGCGAAGCCGACCATCGCCCCCTTGGTGTGGGGTTTGGGGCCTGTTCAACGGCCCCGACAAAAAATAAATAGTGTTTTGGAGAGCAAACAGTGCCCTTTGGTACGGTTTAGAAGTATGATTTAGCTAGTCAAAATTCTAATATCAAGAGGGGAATATTGGTGTGATATATTTTTCAGAAACCGAAGGGGAGGGGGTGGGGGTTAGGGTCTAGGTCTAGGACATGTGTAATCATGCCGATATTTTCTGACGCATGTCTCGCCAGCATGCACAATTTTTATATTCAGTAACGAAGGTTTGGGTAATGAAATATTTCAAAATATCAACGCTTTTGTACGATATAGACAAGGTTATGTCAACAAAAATTAGACTGCGTTAACGGGGTATTACGAAATACAACCTTATTTTACTGATACAGCGTGTACTTAATTTCAAGTACATTTTTTGCAGCGCCTGCTAACGAAGATTTTGCAAATTACTCCCAAAAAAGAAAGCAGTGTTGTCGTGTTTCGTGTAAAACATTTTAATGATCCCTGTTACCATGTCTTGCTATTTATGGGCGAACCTGAGTCGACGATTTTTACTGGCTTAAATATTACAATTATACCAAAGATCTAATTTTCATTATAGGAATTAAGTCACGCATTTTTTTTTTCATTTTTTAATGACGGGCGACGCCACGAAAGTAGCTGCAAGCTTTTTATTGCGTTATTTGAAATAAACATTCCAGACATTTTCTGAGACGTTAGACAACCTACATCTTGGCAAGATGCAACCTTTCTACATTAATAAAATTGACTAAATCTATTGGAGAATGAGAGATGCACTGCTAGCAGCAGTAACGAAGGTGTAAAGTGTGGTCCGTTTTTTTTCTTGTTTTGTCAGAACAGATGTACCTAGCAATTTTTTTTTTCAGTAATTTAAGTTGCTTGACTGACTAAAATTCCAATTCTTCTGCTCGCATACTTTTGATAAAATGAAAAGAGTGAGATGGTCTTATCCGGTATAGGCCTATGTTGAGAGTATCACCCCATTCTCATAGATTAGATCGACCTACATTGGATCGACCTAACTCCCTGGGGGTTCACGCTAAATAGCTGTCAGCCGGGCGGACACGAAAGTTAATTACCCCTTACAGATTGTAGTAGGCGGGGACGGACACTTAAGGCGGATTATCTGACAGTAATCTAGTGAGACTCCCCGCGGTGATAGATCGATCTAAAAGTTGTGAGAACAGAGCCTAAGTGTAAATCACGCAGTGGAATGAGTTGAGTTATTTTAATGTCCATTCAGAACAGAGGATCCAAGGATCTAAGGATTCATGGATCAAATATAAAATTTTAAAAGGGCTTTAATTTGACTTAAGTCCGAGCAACGATTTTCGACTTCATGCCTTCCTGGAGAGAAAAGCAAAACACACCCGTCTGGGGAGGGGCCCGGGTGGGCACTTTGAATTAATTCTAGCACGTTTTGTTAAAACACTACCAGCAATCCATATATGTTTGGTGGGTACTAAGTATGCAATCCTTAATCAGTGAACTTTTCAATCATGATATTACTTCAATTCAGAACATCCAAGTCCGTTTTGGGTCTTTAATTGGATAGAATGTTCAAGTGGAGTTTCAAAAATCTATGATCATTAAAGGACAACTACTCATTTTCAAGATTTTTTAAATTTCTTTAATTACTAGTAATATTTAACTTACACAACATTTATGAATATTCACATAGTAAGCATAAACATATAAAAGGAATGACTTTATCAATATCACATAATGCACAGAAATATCACAGAATATTTCACAGAATGAAATATAGCTCAAACTTATAGAATTTAAAAAGATAAAAATATTATGAGAAAATATATTTTCACATTCTGCTCTCCATTTTGAAAATAAACATGCCCTTAAAAAGTACATACAGATGTAAAACAAAACCACTCTTATATAACTTTGCAAAAATCATTACCTAAGTCTTGATAGTCATTAAAATACAAGTAACAAAAACATTCTCAACAAAAACATTGAAAACTTTTATAAGGAACACATCTTATTCACAATTTTCAATCATTTCTACTTATTGCAACTGAGATATTAAACACTGTCAACCAACTCACCAGTAACTATATATGTCATAAAAAGACAAGCCATTTTGGTAGAAGCAATTGTGTAAGTCACACATATCCATGTCTTAAGGTACAATCAGATTGAAAAATAGGTCAACCTTCTTGGTACAACAAATGACCTTTATCTAAGTCACACATATCCATGTATTATGTTACATTTAGATGAAAAAATAGGTCAGCCTTCTTGGTACAACTGAAGACATTTATCTAAATCACACATATCCAAGTCTTAAGTTATATTTAAATGAAAAGAAGGCCAGCCTTCTTGGTACTACCAATGACATTGATCTAAGTCACAAATGTCTTAAATTAGGAGATTGAAAAATATGTCAGCCTTCACACCTATCCATGTCTTAAGTTATAATAATTTATTAAAAATAGGTCAACCTTATTGGTTCAACCAAAAACATCTAGGTTAGTAAGCTGAACTCACCAGAGACACCCATACCAGTTCCAAGCAGCCACACCCATCACAAGGCACACCCATCACAAGGCACACCCATTACAAACCACACCAAGCACAAGCCACACCCATCACAAGCCACCAGTGTTTGCCTCTTAGGAAAATAAGTTGCTGGACCGATAGTCCAGCCATCTTGAAAAGTAGCTGGACTGAATGTCTGTTGGGTGGGAAAACTTCTCAGCCCGTTCTAAAAGTTGTCAGCCACGGGCAGACGGTCCAGCCTTAATTTCTAACACTGCAAGCCACACCCATCACAAACCACACCCATCACAAGCCACACCCATTACAAACCACACCCATCACAAGCCACACCAAGCACAAGCCACAGCAGTTAGTGCAAGGCTACCATACTTAACTACAGTTGCTGAGTTTTTTTTTTTTTTGTTGTTGTTGTTTTGACAAATCTTACTGTTTTGTGCACCTTTTATTTCACTGGACACATGCTTACTAGTAACTTGGGTGTTTAAAAGAATGGGTACAAAAAGAATGGTATGAACAGGATATGATTTGTCAGAATAAAGGGGCTAATCAAAAGAGAGGCGACAGTACCAGTTCTTGCTGCCTCTGGCATGCAAAATGCTGCATGTGTAAGATGGCATGACAACAAGGTTGTGCCCCTTATATTGGCGTATGTTGCAGTGGACCTTATTGGCAAAACTTGGCAGTGGAGCAAAAGAGACTGTCAATACATTGATACTGATCGTCCAAGGATCGAAGAAGAGTACAACAAGTTCATGGGGGGCATTAATATGTTGTATATGTGAACTTGTATTGATAGCCCTACAGGTCTTAGAGATGGTATATGCACCTCTTTTTGCATTCAATGACTATGTGTTGTAAAGTTAATGACTTACACTTACACTAATTACAATTGGTAATAAAAGGAAAATCAGAGTGGTATTGAGTGTAAGTTAAGTTTCATCAAGAGTCAACAAATTAAAATAATTAAAATAATTTTTTTGAAAATTTTTAGGAGAAAACAAGGCTCTTAGACATTGCCTAATAAGAGAATGTTCTATGGTAAAGTCAACATGAGGATGGAAAGTTTCTGGAAATCACACCGTAAACAGTGAAAAGAACATAATTACACCTGTGATAAATACGGAGAATAAGAGCGATGAAAAAATGATTGAGGAATCCAGAACGTTGTCATCGTTGAAATATGTGGTGGAGGAAGAAACCGGTCCTGGCTCTACCGATGCAAAGTGAACAACCGGAGAATTGGAGTCCTCCAGCAGCAAACACAAGAATAGCTGTACAGAAGAAACTATTTGCGTCAGGCGCCGAAGGTAAAACACCTCAAAGACTGGAGAAAACATCAACTTTTTCTCCAGTTACCATGCAGTTACTATTTTTTTAAATATCGTTTTATTTAACTTCTGTATCCACTCTTTTCAATTTTAAAATATTAAGTAATATTTACAGGGTCATTTACAAAATGCTTGAAAACTTAGGAGAATTCAATTAGAGGACAACGAGGGTATAGTCAATGTCAACTTGTGGAATAATGCTGCGACTACTAACATAGAAGTGGGCGACTAGATTGAAACTCATGATGTTAATGTGTCCTACGATAAAGTGATCGTGAAAAATGTGCTCTCTGTCAACAGACCTGACCAACTTGCTTCAATAGCTATTGTGCTCTCTGTCAACAGACCTGACCAACTTGCTTCAATAGCTATTGTGCTCTCTGTCAACAGACCTGACCAACTTGCTTCAATAGCTATTGTGCTCTCTGTCAACAGACCTGACCAACTTGCTTCAATAGCTATTGTGCTCTCTGTCAACAGACCTGACCAACTTGCTTCAATAGCTATTGTGCTCTCTGTCAACAGACCTGACCAACTTGCTTCAATAGCTATTGTGCTCTCTGTCAACAGACCTGACCAACTTGCTTCAATAGCTATTGTGCTCTCTGTCAACAGACCTGACCAACTTGCTTCAATAGCTATTGTGCTCTCTGTCAACAGACCTGACCAACTTGCTTCAATAGCTATTGTGCTCTCTGTCAACAGACCTGACCAACTTGCTTCAATAGCTATTGTGCTCTCTGTCAACAGACCTGACCAACTTGCTTCAATAGCTATTGTGCTCTCTGTCAACAGACCTGACCAACTTGCTTCAATAGTGATAGGAACTGCTTCTGTATAAGCCTCATCTAGAACCATTTGCATGTTACATAATGAACAGAGAAAAGATCAGAGATTTACGGCGCTTTGCAGTATTCACTTGGAGACATATAACTGCTTGTTGTGAATTGTGTTTTAGGAACATATTAAATAGGTCAATAAATATCCTTTATTATCACTAAAGCCCAGTGTTGCATATGTGCAACATTTCTTAAATTGGGGTCAATGAGTGCAATAATCCAAAATAAATGCAAAAAGTATATTTATAGACCTGAAATGTTCCGATAACAGTCCTGGATTTTTTTTTTTTTTTGACAGCGTTTTGGTTCCCTGGGCTTTGCAGGGCTAGAGCCAGTACAAAAACACGCAAAGTGTGGGTTGGATATCAGCAAGCCTATTTTGAACAGAGGCGAGCTGCATGTCTGCCTAAGACTGTGGGCAGAGAGGGGGGGGATTAGCTCCCTCAGAAATTTTAATATCAAATATCAATGATATGCTTAAAGATATCAAAGAATTATAGATAAAATGGGACAGTTGTCATAATGCAAATTTGTCAAAAAGCAAATTTTTAAAGTTTATGTAATTATGTGGTAATAGCTGAAGTCTCAGATTGAAGTCATAAAGAATGCTTGTTTAGTTCACTCTATTTATGAATCACCAACTGTTTCCAAGTAATTTAGATACGTTTTGACCACCAATATCGTATGGTCATTATTGGCTCTGATTTATGACTAGTCTTCTGATTTCTAACCATTCATCTAGCTATTGGTCATCTGATGTCCATCAGTTTATTACTATAGGAAATGATGTTCTTCCGGTGGTCAATTGACCAACTGAGTTCTAAATCTACTCCCGCACAAATTAAAAGTATAAGAAGTAACATGCTGGTTACCAAGAATCATATTGTTGCTAGCTCTTGCACTGATACTAGCAGATGAGTACAGAGTGACTCGCTCGAAGCAGCAGTAAAGAGTTGATTTGCAGTTTGGTTGAATAAAGCTGTTCTCCCTCTCTCCCAAGCTGGTGTTCTGCCTCTTGCTTTCGCCAAGCGCAAGAAAGCACACGTGACCAGTATTATATATACTCGTGGTTTTTAAACCCTCATAATAATGTCTCAATTCTTCAAACTTAGTGATGATATCATGGGCACTGTATGGCAAAGCAAACAGGGGGTTGCCTAGATTGTCTTCAGCGAATTGCATATATTAAACAAGATTCGACTGTTGAGAGAGGCATAGCAAGATTTCCAACAGATTGTACCTGTTGTTCAAGCTGCTATGACAGAAGACACTGAAACAGACCAGCAGGTGGGAGAAAACCATGGCATTTGAGTGATGTACATTGTTTACCAACCAGTAAGTCAAGCTTATGCTCCAATATATACGATGTAACACTTGATAAAAGTACATGGGAGGCATTGCTGACCAAAGAACCTGAAATAAATGAGGCATTGGGCGTAATCCCTCCGACATCGACCAGTCAAAAATGGGCGACGATAAAATGGTCGGGGCAGAGAATGACATAGAAGCAGACGTAGCGTTAGTTTGTCTCATCTATGAAGTTCATTGTAAAAGAATTACTGGCCATGTGACGAAGGTTCTGCACTGGATTAATAGCCGATCACGGACCCCAAAAGCATCACATGGATGGATGCATGGCAGACTGGGCGGTTTCTGTACACATCTACTTCACCAGGGCAAAAGCTGCTGTGAGCCATGGGGCAATACTGAAGGCCTACAAACTGGTGAAGCAAAAATTGAATCAGCCAGAAAAACTGTACATCCTTTCCATCATCATGACTGCTGCGTTGCTGGAAGATTTTCGCAAAGATGTGGAAGATCCAAACCATGTGTTAGTCCCTGACACTGTCCTTGCAAGATTTGCCTACGATGCGTGTGAGACAGTCTGTGTCAAACGCAACCCACAATGAACACTGGACAGTAAAGGACAATTAGCATTGTGGATGTGAACTGAATAAAAATTAAGATTTGCATTAAGATAATGTATGTAAAGATGTACAACAGAAAAAGACATTTCATTGGATAAAGTAATTGTATCACAATATAAGAAGAAGTTTGACTGGTTGAAATAATTACATTATAATATGAAAATTAGTTTGATTGGTTGAAATACAAGATACATTATCAATATAAAGGCAAATAAAATAATAAGACTGAAGTCTTTTTTATAATGATTTGATTATTTAGAACGGATGATGGACATGTAGAATTGGATGTAGGGGTGGGGGATAAGGCCGAGCATGCCTTATACAAAAGAAGAAGGTTGAATTCTTAGCTTTCTTGATTGGCCATGCAAATTACTAGTCAATCCAATACCCTTAGAAGTAGAAGAAGAAAAAAAAAAAAGATATGCCCGATCACAGAGTGNTACATTATCAATATAAAGGCAAATAAAATAATAAGATTGAAGTCTTTTTTATAATGATTTGATTATTTAGAACGGATGATGGACATGTAGAATTGGATGTAGGGGTGGGGGATAAGGCCGAGCATGCCTTATACAAAAGAAGAAGGTTGAATTCTTAGCTTTCTTGATTGGCCATGCAAATTACTAGTCAATCCAATACCCTTAGAAGTAGAAGAAGAAAAAAAAAAAGAGATATGCCCGATCACAGGGTATTTTTCATGGATCTTGTACTGGATAACCTAGCAGATATTAGAGAAGAATGTTTTTGTGAATTTTGCCAGTGAGTGCGTATGAAAAACACAATTTGCCTGTGCAATCTTTTCATTGATTATTCTTTGCTTTAGTTGAGATTGCAGTGGTACTGTGGTAGTATTTTTACAAGGGAATAAGACCAGATTTCATATTTAATTGTGTTGACCATGACTGAAAGAAACAATTCCTATTTACAAGGGGGTGATGGACAGGAAGATGAGGAAAACAATTCGTTTTCACAGTTATGGGGAAGGGAGGATGACTACGATGATGATTTTTTGTCACGTGGTGATGCTATAAAGCGGGAACACTTAAGCCCTCGAGATTACTGTGTTGAAAAGCATAGGCGAACATTAGGTTCAGAAATTCCGCACTACTTGTCGAGATTATCGTTTAGGGTTCAATCCCCTAGATAGGGTGCCTGTTACTTTTGCAGTGCCAATAGAGCATGCAGTTTTTGACAGTATTTTCTCTGAGATAACGGCTGGATTTCAAGGTCACGATTTAATCAGGGTAGTCCTTCAGAGTGACACTTTAGAACACCCTGTGGGTACTCCCTTTGTGGGCGTGTCAGAATTATCAGCAGACCTATTTTTGGCTGCATTGATGTGTGTGTTGCAAAGTCACGGAGATTTCAGGTTAGACAGCAAAGTGATATTAAGTATATGTCACATAGCTATGCCACAACCAGGCCTCGTCTCCTGTAACAGACGTAGAGGTTCTATGGAGGTGCATTCTTTCTTGAAAAATAAAAAATCGGTCGTAACCATTCGTAATAGTGATGAACTTTGTCTAGCTAGGGGATTAGCTGTTGTTATAGCAGCATGATCACCTCCATCAAAGGTTTCATGTCGCGTTTGTATTATTGCGTCTCCTGTAATGTAGGGTACGAGAGTATAACCGATCATCTTTGTGCAAACAAATGCAGGTATTGTAGAAAGGGCACCGATTGTGTTTTTGAAAATTGGACGCGCAGTGAAGACTGCAACAGGGCTTTTCTTTCCCACGCATGTTTTGAGTATCATAAACATGTGGAGAATGGGAAGTCAACCTGCAACACTTTTTTTTTACTTGCAAGAAGTGCAGCAAATTTGTGGTTAAAACTGAAGAAGATCACATTTGCTTCACATATAGTTGCACTATGTGCAAAGCACGTGTAAAACAAGGACACTTGTGCTACATGCAACCCTTGCAAAGTAAAAATGATCCTGCACAAGGTGAATCTAGCACCTCTAGATCTGCAAAGAAAAAGAGAAAAGTCGAAAAAGCCATGCCCTACGTATTCTTTGATTTTGAAGCAATGCAAAAAGGGAATGGCGATCATAAGGCAAATTTAGTGGTCGCACACAAGGTGTGTAAGCATTGTATCGATAGGGAGGTCGCGCCCACAAGCGAATGTGCGGCATCAGTCTAAATTACACCACCTCACAAATAGTTAACTTTGAAACTTTGAAGAACATGGTGCACAAAGAAGGCCCAGAAAAAGTAACTGTGATGAATCATAATATAAGGCGTAACGTTACAACTAAGGACCTCACTTCAAAGTTAGAAGAAAAGACCTATAGAATGGTCTACACAAAGAGAGCTTTAATGCCAGACGGCATTCACACGCTTCCATATGGTTACTAAGCAATTTTAGATAATTTATAGTATAACTGCATCATTGTACATAATGTACGTATTTCAATAAAACTATGCATACAATTTAATGTCATTTCGTTTTACATCAATTTTTATCTATCAATAAATCTGCACAATAGTCTTTAAAGTTATAAGTCCTGTTAGGTCATAACCATACAATCATCTGCCTAATATGTGCAGTCATGCCCCATCATGTAAATTAGTCACAACAAAATTCCGTTACCACAGCAAACCGGACTTGGCAAAATTACGTTACACGCTGCTTTTACAGGTAATGTAACATGACAAAGATGAAAGGCAGTGTCTCTCTACCCTCTAAAAAATATTATCTTCTGAAATTGTGAGTAACTGTTATGGTGTTACTCAGTATCTGAGTTGCTGCTTGTTACATGCCATTTAGAATACAAACACTTAAAACACTTTATTTTAGAATAAATATTAAAAATTTCCATTTCTTCTTGAAAAATAGAAAAAAAGAAATTCTCTTCGTAGTGAACAAACTCATCTATGAAAAGGATCATTTAAACTCGGAAATAAATGGATAATAACTTAACAGAAGTGAGAAGGTTAGATGATTTTATTTCACTTTCAGATTTCACTGACTTAATAGGTTTTGACCTTTTACCAGATACATCTGACAACAACACCTATTCCAATAGCCTAATAGATGCAGATAGACTTTTAGAATGCTGTGAACAATCATTGATTTTGAGTCCTACAGACGTAAATTGACTTAAAAAAAATAAAAAAAAAACAATTACCCACAAGGGATGAGGAAAATTATCAGAATAGTGAAAATCCTGTTAATATTAATCTTTAAAGTCAAGATGGTAGAAGATTTTTTTTGGTCATTTCTACACAGGAAATGGTTTTACAACTGCTGATATTACTGTTAATAGAACTGGAAGTTCCGTTGGGTGCGGAACAAAATCCAATTATTTTGGATTAAACAGTAAGTGATACCTATGCAAACCATGGTTTTCCCAATCTACATCCAAACAGAAGAGGGGAAAAATTATTTCTTTGTCAAACCTACAGAGGAAATAAAAGTACAACTGCTGATGTTATTTCTGGCAGAATTAGAAGTTCCGTATGGATTAGAACACAATCCAATTATTTTGGATTTAACAGTAAGTGATACCTATGCAAACCATGATTTTCCCAATCTACATCACAACAGAAGATGGGAGAAATTATTTCTTTGTCATACGTACAGAGGAAATAATAATACAACTGCTGATGTTATTTCTAGCAGAAATAGAAGTTCCGCTTGGATTAGAACACAATCCAATTATTTTGGATTTAACAGTCAGTGATACCTATGGAAACCATAATTTTTCCAATCTACATCCAAACAGAAGATGGGAGAAATTATTTTGACGTGCTACATGCAACCCTTGCAAAGTAAAAATGATCCTGCACAAGGTGAATCTAGCACCTCTAGATCTGCAAAGAAAAAGAGAAAAGTCGAAAAAGCCATGCCCTACGTATTCTTTGATTTTGAAGCAATGCAAAAAGGGAATGGCGATCATAAGGCAAATTTAGTGGTCGCACACAAGGTGTGTAAGCATTGTATCGATAGGGAGGTCGCGCCCACAAGCGAATGTGCGGCATCAGTCTAAATTACACCACCTCACAAATAGTTAACTTTGAAACTTTGAAGAACATGGTGCACAAAGAAGGCCAAGAAAAAATAACTGTGATCAATCATAATATAAGGCGTAACGTTACAACTAAGGACCTCACTTCAAAGTTAGAAGAAAAGACCTATAGAATGGTCTACACAAAGAGAGCTTTAATGCCAGACGGCATTCACACGCTTCCATGTGGTTACTAAGCAATTTTTAATAATTTATAGTATAACTGCATCATTGTACATAATGTGCGTATTTCAATAAAACTATGCATACAATTTAATGTCATTTCGTTTTACATCAATTTTTATCTATCAATAAATCTGCACAATAGTCTTTAAAGTAATAAGTCCTGTTAGGTCATAACCATACAATCATCTGCCTAATATGTGCAGTCATGCCCCATCATGTAAATTAGTCACAACAAAATTCCGTTACCACAGCAAACCGGACTTGGCAAAATTACGTTACCAGCTGCTTTTACAGGTAATGTAACATGACAAAGATGAAAGGTAGTGTCTCTCTACCCTCTAAAAAAATTATCTTCTGAAATTGTGAGTAACTGTTATGGTGTTACTCAGTATCTGAGTTGCTGCTCGTTACATGCCATTTAGAATACAGACACTTAAAACACTTTATTTTAGAATAAATAATAAACATTTCCATTTCTTCTTGAAAAATAGAAAAAAAGAAATTCTCTTCATAGTGAACAAGCTCATCTATGAAAAGGATCATTTAAACTTGGAAATAAATGGATAATAACATAACAGAAGTGAGTAGGTTAGATGATTTTATTTCACTTTTAGATTTCACTGACTTAATAGGTTTTGACCTTTTACCAGATACATCTGACAACAACACCTATTCCAATAGCCTAATAGATGCAGATAGACTTTTAAAATGCTGTGGACAATCATTGATTTTGAGTCCTACAGACTTAAATTGACTTTGAAAAAAACAATTACCCACAAGGGATGAGGAAAATTATCAGAATGGTGAAAAAATCCTGTTAGGAGTCCTCTAATATCAATCTTTAAAGTCAAGATGGTAGAAGATTTTTTTTAGGTCTTTTCTGCACAGGAATTGGTTTTACAACTGCTGATATTACTGTTAATAGAACTGGAAGTTCCATTGGGCAGGGAACAAAATCCAATTATTTTGGTTACTATCTGCTACAATCCCTACAAGAAGACTTCTCAGCCACAGTTTGAGATGGAGATTGATCGCGCTACATGGAAAGCCTTGGTATGTAAAATACCTGAGATTGATGAAAGAATTGGCGTTTAAGCAAGTCCTTCGATTGCTGTGCCTAGTGTTGCAGTCGTTAAAATGAATGAGAGATACGTAACAGAGGACATTGCTCTTGTTCGCCTTCTCTATGTCAAGTTCATA